GTGTTCAACAAGTTTTCTTCACTTCTGCCAGGAGGCTACAAGCGAAACTCAACAACTGCAAAAGGTACCTACATGAAATTGTCTATTTTTTTTAAGTTTATAATTACTAAGTTTTTTAATCAGTAAAAGATACTGTAAGGGGAACCAAGATGGTGGCATAGGTAAACACCGGAAATTGCTGCCTCGCACAACCACCTCAAAAATACAACTAAAAGACAAAACGGACATCATCCAGAACCACAGGAAGGCTGGCTGAGTGGAAATTCTACAACTAGAAGGAAAGAGAAAAGCACACTGAGACTCAGAGGAGGTGCGGAAGTAAAGTGCAGAGGTATGGAGGCACACGTGGAAAGGGCTGGCTACTGAGGACATGGTTGTCTTTTTCAATCGGGAGGGAGTCTAAAGCTCCCGACTGCTCTGAACTCCAGTTCCGGGTGAGTCTCTGGGGACCCAGACTCATACAGGGAGAAACTGGACTGTCTGGCATCGGTCGGAACTCGAGGGCGGCTTTCTCTCAGAGGTGCTTGCAGTGATTACCAGGACACTGAGAACCGGGGCCTCTTAGGGTAGGACTGAGGAGCAGCCATACCTGTTTACTCTGCCCTGTTGATTCCCTGAGACCCCGCCCCACCCAAGCTGTGCCCAGAGGCTTTTGCATATGAAAGGCCTGGCCCTTTGCAATCTGAAAGTTACCTAACAAACTGCAGCTGGGTCAGAGAGACCCAGAACTTCCAAAAGAAGGCCCAAGGGCCCACAGCAGCTTGCATTGCTTCACAGCTGGGCCTCATCTGGGCACCTCCAAACTCCAAACAAAGAAGAGGAATCTGCAGATCTCTCCATAGCTCCTGCTCGGTAGCCTCAGGCAGAGGCTAAATTAGCACCTCCTTAGAGACCCAAGAGTCAGTGTACCCAGTGGTCAGAGTGGGACCATCCAGATTACACTCCTCAGATCCATAAGGGACACACTCAGGGGGCAGACTCAGTGAGCACCAAAGCCCCAGTGAAGCAAGTCTTGCCCCATAAGGGTGTCTCCAGCACAGAAGTTCTCCCACTGTAGACACAGCTGATTCTCACAGCCAATTGGCCTGGAGGTCAATTCCTTCCAGTGATACCTACAACAATCAAGGCTTAACTATAACAAGACTGTGCACAAAGACCACAAAGGGGTTCACCAAGAGTGTCCACCTCAGGTAATTGGGGAGACTGAGCCACTGGGCCCTATAGGACACCTAGCACAGAAAGCCACTCTATCTACACAGGGAAGCAGCCAAAATGCGGAGACAAAGAAACAGGACACAAATGACAGAAATGGAGGAAAGCAAAGTATTGGATATAGAGTTCAAAACCACACTTTTAAGGTTTTTCAAGAACTTTCTAGAAACCGCCGACAAATTTAGTAAGACCCTCAAAAAGACGGGTGAGACCACTGATAAATGTTGTGAGATCCTCAAGAAATCTAGTGAGACCATGGAGGGTATGAAAAAGGACCAACTAGAAATTAAGCATACACTGACTGAAATAACGGATATTATGCAGAGTTCCAACAGCAGACTAGAGGATCGCAAAGAATCAAGCCAAAGATTTGGAAATACAAAGAAGCAAAAAACACTCAACCGGAAAAGCAAACCGAAAAAAGATTCCAAAA